GTACAAGCACTTTGCCAGCTTAAGGAGCCAGTTTGCCTCAATGATCTCAAAACCATTCTTTGCTATCAAGTTCACTGTGGGATCTTTGGGGACAATCCCATGGCTACCACAGTCCTTGCCAATTCAGGTGACACTAAATTTTTCTTAGCACCTTGCCTATTTTCATTGTTTAAAATTCCAACTTTTAACTACAGTTTCAAGTTTTTAATCAAAAATATAATTTAATATAATTTAAAGTTATTTTACTTTAAAAAAGAAAAATAAGAACAACACTAACATTTTAAAATTCCACTTAGTTTATGGTCTCCTAGAGCAAGTTACCCAGACTTCTTTGTTAACTGACATAAACTGTACATTCTCTGTAGAAGGCCCTTTCCTCAGACTAAAGAGTACTCTGGCAAATAATGTGATCTTTCTGAGGTTGTAACAAATGGTTTTACAGTCATACTTCACCCTTAGATCATGTTCCTGAGAGTACCATAGATTTGATCTTTGTTCAGAAAACATTTCTTAATTTTAGCATCATTTGCTATTTTTTCTGATGAAGCAGGAAATCTTCAAAATCAGAAAGCCTGACTCCGTTTTGGAACCCCTCTGTAGGTTGGTTATCTGTCTCTTGTCACATTTTACTATAAGTGGCCAGCACTTTCAAGACTCTGGGTAGAAATCACCTTAGCTAGATCACCCAGTTCATTAGTAACATCTTCTGCCTTCACACTACAGGCAACAGTGTTGATGTACTTTCTGAAACTGTATGACAAAGATCCTCTTTTATCTAATTTTCAATAATATTTTCCTCACTTACCTCAATAGCCTCCTTGAAGTCCACAGTTTTACCAACAGTGTGCCCCTCAAGCTTTCACTAACAGTCTCTTCAGAATCCTTACAGCTTTAACAGCTTTCTCCCTCTGAGGTAAATGAACAGCATGTCTTACGTATGACTGGTACTAATGGCTATTAAATAAGAACTGCAAAGCAAGCCCATGCCTTTAGAGGATTCCAATGTCACTGGGTTCAGCTGTGTCCATGGCACAGACATACTATGCCAGGGTCTACACAAGTCTGGCTGGAGATTTGTGACTACACAACCATCAGCAGCATCTCAGACATACTCAGTCCTCCTCAAGTTTTCTTCTGTGATTGGTTCACTGAGTCACAGCTAGTTCCTTGTTCCAAAGAGTTTGATAACATATTTTCCAATCTTCTGATAAGTCCAGTCGCTGAAACAACCACATTTTCCAAATCATTTTACCATTTATTCCACTGGGTAAATAGCACCAAGAATAGCTAGACTCAAGTATCACCAGGATGTACATCAAAACCCAGTGAAATGATCTCTCATGTATTCTTCTTTTTCTTAGCATTACCTATGTTTACATTTCTGTTCCAAGAAAAATAAAACAGAACATCTCAATCGCTGAAATTCTGTAGCTTGGGGGATGTTTAGTTTTCCCTCTTTAAGTCAGTGGGTTTCAACTGAAGATTCAATCAGAATCTCCTGTGGGACTTTCTAAACACCACAATTCTCTCCATGAACTCCTTCCCTAAATTCTGGCATGCCCTTCAGGTTTGAAAGGTTCCCAGGTCATATTGAAATGTTTCCCTTTCACACACCATCCCCCATATCAATTGTGCACTACTGAGGGAAACCTTGATCCTGGATATGCAATAATTTCTTTTTAAAGAATATTATAATCCTTATTAGATACCTTATGTTCCTTTTAGATTGGTAGAACCGGGTAAAAGTACGTATCAATTTAATAAACACATCTATGGTTATTGTGAAAATGAGACACACCCATGGTTATTAAGAAAAGGAAAGTTCTGCTTTTCTTCTTTCCTCTGTGTGAGGGATCGGCATACCTTTCTTGGTAAAGAGGCAGATAAAAAATATTTATAACTTTGAGAGTCATTTTATCTGTTGCAATTGTTATACTAAACCTGGCCTTTGTAGCATGAAAACAGCCATAGGCAATAACATAAGCAAATTGGGTGTGGAAGTGTTTCAGTAAAACTTTGCTTACAAAACAGGTGGTGACCCAGATGTGGCCCATAGGCCATGGTTTGCTGGCCCCCTTTTTATAGCATAAAGGAAGATTAATGTCTCCTTTTTATTTATAGGCCACCTCAGTGGTTGAAATGATTTTAGTGGATCCTTGTGTTTTGGAAGACTCCCCTTACTTTTTCCCTGCTGTCCTGTGAGTGTGGTCTATTTTCATCTTTCCCTTGACATCTTTCCCCTGAAAAGGTCAACCCTGGTCTGCTTCCCAACAGCAAGCCTGGCCAACTATGTCTCTTAGCCACTTGCCTCTGAATTGTCCAACACATTTAAGCCTTTTGCACCTGTGGCTCGTTCCCAGTGGCTTAGGATCTCCGTCTCAACTTACAACTGTACTGTTATCTTAATAAGCCCAGCCCTCACCCCCTTTTTCTGAACTTTTTCCCAGAATACAATATAACATGTGGCAAATAAACTTTTATAGATATCTTTCACGGTGGCAAACACAGTGTCAGAAGGCCAAGTTCATAGCCCTGCAGTGCCTTACTCACCTGGGCACACACAGTTGCACCTGATGCCCTGCTGGATGAAATCTGCAGCCACAGATTTTGTGAGGCCAATCACAGCTGCCTTGGTTGTGCTGTACACACATCTGTTCACAACTCCTGAGGGTGGAGGAAAGGTTCAACAATTGAAGGAATAAAAAATGTATTTTCCTTTAGAAAGGTAGCACAAATAAGTTTTCCCAGTAGCCATTTTCATGCTTTCTCCCACATTCCTCCCCTTTTAAAAAGATTGATATCAGATTTTTTTCCTTTAATAGAGTCAGTTTCTGGATCTAAGGAAATAATATCAGTATAGGCACAACTTAATTGAGACTTAATTGAAATTCTGAACTTATTTAACATTGGTAGTCTTAGTTTCTCACCATCAGTTGCTGTAACTCTTAGGCAGATTCCCAAAGATAATAAAGATTAATAACAAAACAAAACAGTAAAACAGGAGGCCTAGGCACTTCTTTACATTCCTCTCTTGTGTATGTTGAATATGTGTGTCCTTGCAAAGAGAAGAAATGTTATCTCAGCAGTAACTATTTCATTTTAAACTCACAGATCCAACTATGTCAGATTGTGACATAATCCACATTTTCACTGCTGCCCTTGTCCTTCAACTTGACTTCTCGCTGATGGCTCAGATCAACTGTCTTTGTGAAGCATTCCACAAACTCACAGGCAGTTATTTCCCTGTATTTTGACAGTGCTTTGTCCAAACCTCTGTTATATATCATCACACTGGAGAAGATGATGTTTGCTGCCTTGCTCCTAGTTTTGGACTGTGAATTCTTTTAGGGGCAGAGCACATACCGGTGCTCAATACACTATTTTCAATTAATTAAATGTTAAATGGTTCTTTCTCCCAGTTTGATGTTCATTTCCATATCCCTTAGAAAGAATAAAAGGGAGGGCAAAAAACCCCCCACATTTTAATTTAATTTTGCCACTGGCTCACATCTAGAGCAAAAGATCTGTGGTTAAGGAACTTAATACCAATTTTGAAAAAAGCACTTTTGAAATCATTTCAGTACTTGAAATTATGATCTCTGCTATGCCTGTTCCCAAACGCAGAGCTTTTAATGATGTGTATGTATGAGCATCGCAGTCCTCAGAGGGAGACAGACCCACCTTTGATGCTGGAAGCCACAGAAGACATGTTGATAATATTGCCAGATTTCTGAGCAAGCATCTGCCGAAACAAAACAAATACAAAAAAAAAAAAAAAATCCACTTCTTGTGCTAAAATACTACCTTTTAAAAAGATTTGCATTTTCTTAGGGTTTGCAGAATGAATTTAATTACTGTATTAGCTAGTCACATTAAGCAGTATTAAGCAGTCTTAACAGTGAACCCAAAACACCTCATCAACTATTGCTGGGAAATGATGGCAATGTGACCGCACTCACTGGCATTTCCCAGGGGGATTACCACCTTCCCACGGTACAAGAATGTCAGCAAGACTACGAATGAATGCTGACTTAAATGAAATGCAAATAAATGTTGTTATTGTGGGTTACTGATGTTGGGAAACTTACTCCATTCAACACATATTTTTTTAATACCTACTGAGGCCAGGTATTGTGCTAGGTCTAGGAGATTACTACCTACAGGAGGCAACCAGTCTGGTTAGTGGTTGACATAATCCACATCCAGCAACAGCAGAGACCTCCACAGAGATCTAATAGCAGGGTGAGGGCAGAAAGGGAGCAGTTCAGGCTGGGCGACACTCAGAGGGGACCTCCTGAGGAGGAAAGATACAGGCTGAATTTTGAACACTAGAGTATTAATCAGAAAAATAGAAGAAAAGGATGCTTTGAGGAGTGGGTACACAGGTATAAAGGTTCCATCGGGAACTGGGAGGAGGGGCTGGGTCTGGCTGGAATGCAGGGTATAGAAGTAATGATGCTGCAGAGGTTGACAAGGGCTGAATTTAGAACCTGGGTTTTACCCTGAAGGCAATGCAGTGACATTGAAGGGTTTAAAGCAGAGGAGGAGTGGCATGTTCAGACTTGGGGATTACAAGGATTACTCTGGTGCCCAGAGACTAGTGGAAGCTGATGCAGGGTTCAGGAAAGAGTGATAAAGGTGAAGCTGCAGAAATGTCTATGGGTAGCTGAGGAGGAGAGGGCTGAGGCAGGATGGGCAGGACCTGGTAGATGGTTGCTGCAGGGAGGGTGGGCCTCACCAATTTAGGGCAATGTTTCCTAAGAACACTTTCTTCAGAATTCCCCCACTAACGTGTGAATTTATTAAGATAAGGGTCTTTGGCTGTTTTGTCCTCCTAGACAGTGCACACAGTAGGCAGTCAATAAATGTGGATGAATCAGAACCTCCTGAGGTGCTAGTTTAAAACACAGATTGCTGGGCCCTGTCCTTTACCTGAATAAATATATAATAAAGAAAACTGTTATAAATTTAAAAATGTTTTCAAACTTTACTAATTATAACATGTACGTAGAAGTCTCAATAGGCAGTGTAAAGGGCCAGAGAAAAAAATTGACTTCTGTTGGGATGAATTTCTTGAGCAGCTTTTAGAAAAAGAGGTGTAGGAAAGGGGGAAGTGAATGATTGAATGGATCCAGGATTGGTGTGGCCAAGATGATTGATTCCTTAGGATATTCTTCTGACTTTGTTCTGAGATTTAGCTTCTAATTACCCCTAAAAACAGAATATAAAGTAACCCCAAGGCACTTTGCTGAATGGACTAAGTGGATTCAAGGAGAGGCTGATTGTAACCCAACCAAGTTAAAGAAGACAGCAGGGGAAATAATAATGTTTAACTCAATTGTGTGTTTTACATAATAAAGAGGACCATAATGAAATGGGGTTCTCATAAAAAGTGTCAAAAATGTTGGTCAAGTGCAATGATGTTGAAAAGTAAGCCTTAAAATTGTTCTTATCCAATTTAGCAAATAGCATTCCCCATTAAAAATACATATAGAATACATATACTCCAACTTAATACATAAAGATAGGTCATTAAGTAAGTCTATCTCTAGTCCTCTCTAGAAATGCAATATTATCTCAGGCAAAACCTTAGAATAAAGCCATCTAAGAGATGTTACTGCTGTCCCCTAACACTTGCACTATCCATTCAACCAAATTCAACCAAGGTCCCTCTGCTGCTTCTAGAGCCCATAGTCAGTGCCTGTTCCAATGCTGCCTTCCCAGTCCAGGTCAGGAGCTGTTGTCATAGTGTCAGGCTCTCCCTGGCTCCTCATGCAATAGCCCTCTCTGGCAGGCATGACTATAAAGTGAAGTGCCTGGTACATAGTACTGCTATCTAGGATTGATCTCTCAGAAGCTAAGATAGAAGGTAGAAATACCCGCTTAAGAGTCCATGGAGCTGTATCTAGTTAGTCTTACTCTGACTCAGCCCTTCTGTCTCCATTGGCCAGAGCTCAGCCCCTAACCCTAGTGAAATCTGGCCACTTGGGTCTCCAGTGGTTCCTGCTGGACTAACAACCTTGATTCATTTATTTATTTGACAAATGTTTGCTGAGCACCTCTATATGCTAAAAACTCTTCTAAGATATAGCGGCGGGGCGGGGGGTGGGGCAGGAAGCAAGCAAACAAACTAACCCAAATAACAAAGATATCCCCAAATCTTTGCCCTAATGGATCTTCTCTTCTGGTGGAGCTTGGATTCTGCATTGACCTCTCCTTAAAGTATTTTCAACTTGTTCTCTGCCTTTTGACTGATCTTCCAGTCTTGGAATGCTTTCCTGTGTATCTATCCATGAACAAAAATTTCCTATGAGTGTTCCTATGTTCTGACCAGCTGACCTTCCAGATCTGCCTAGACTCCAAACCTCGGCTTCCCCTGGAAAGTTCTAACCTGGGATATGTGCGTCATAGTTAATGATACAGAGGATCCTAGATAATTATGGCTGGGAGTGATTGTGTAACCTATCATCCTTATTTTTTAGCTAAAAGAAATATGTACTGGGAGGTTACAAGTGCCATCTCTATGGCACATGGCCAATTGGGGCAGGGCGCAGACTGCACCTAAGGACTTCTGATGACAGTCCAAGACCAGGATTCGATTTTGTCAGGGCCACTTTAAACAAGTGGCACTAGAACCTTCTAATACCACATCCCTGCCATTAACATCTCTTTGGATTTTTTTTTTTTAAACAAATATGTGTTTTTGGCTCATATGGATCATTGTTAAGATGTTGTAAATCACAAGCAAACTCACTAGTTTGCAAGTTAATGTTTGTATATTTTAGAAATTAACACAAGTTTACATTTCAGCTCCACTGTACTCCACACCTACTTCCTTTACTAAAATTTGTAAAGCAGTTTAGAGCCTGGTTTTGGAAATGAGTCTCATATATGTGCAATAGTCTTAACCACAATGACCTAAGCTTTCCTCCTATACCATAGACTCTGCTCTACCCCTGTAACCTATGCAAAGGATCTGTCTTCAAAAATACGTTCGTGTTCCAAATAATAAAGATTCTCATAAACTCCAAAGAGGCTGAAAAAGCAACTTACATTTAAAAAAAACAATTTGTTATAAAAATTTGCTAGTTCAACATTCTGTGGACCCACCCAAAAATCTCTTCTAGGCACTAAACAAGTAGATTTTTCAAAGTTCCTTCATTACTAAGTCAGTTTCTCCAATTTTCCTGTTAATGTTCATCTGGAATCTTCTTGACATTAGGTTGAATATTCAGAGTAGAATATCAGCCCTGCTGTGCCATTAACAAAGCTCTTCTCCTGCCCTGACATGGACAGGACATTGAATCCAGCTGGGATGGAAGGGAAAAGTGGTTCTTCTGCATTTCACTAGCTTCAATTTATAACCTTGAGTTGAGCTGGCTGTGTACCCAGTCTACCCCTTTCATTGTCTCAGCCTGTGCTGTCTGCTACCACTGGTTTATAAGTTCATTTGAAGTCAGGGACGTATGTTGCTCATATTTATACTCCCCTAGAGCACCTTATATAGTGATTTATACCAAGAGGCGCTTAATGCTAGTTTATAAAATAAAATTTAAAACATTGATGCATTGTGTGAAGGCTTGAGAATTCAAGGGAAGCAGGCCCAGGAGGAACGTTCTCTTGAGCACACACTTTCTCTCACCTGCCCAGTACCACTGTGGTTCAGATCAAAACAAGAGCGAAGGGAGAAGTTTCAGGGTAGAGAAAAGCAATGGGGTACATCCATCTTGAGAGTGTGAGCCTAAACTGAAATTCATGAAGGGGCTCAATGTCCAGGCTTCAAATCTTGGTTCTAACCATGTGCTAGTTGGGTGACCTTGAGCAAGTTGCCTAAACTCTCAGTTTCATCTTCCGAACAATGGATGAGAAAATAGTACCTACCTCATAGGGTTATTCCAGTCTTGTGTGCCTCCCTGCTGTTACCTCTGCCTGGAATCCTCTCTCAAGCTACCTGAATGATCAGCTCTCTCACTTCTTTTGGACTGCTATGACAGTTTCACCTTTGCAGTGGAGTCCAGAGAGGCATTGATATCCTAGCTTCTTTCTCTTCATTATACTTAAAACCACGCCACATATTCTATGTCTGTTTGATTACTGATTGTCCCATCTCACCCCCAATAATGGAACCTGCCTTATCGAAGGCATTTTGTTTAGTTCACTTGTGTGTCTTCTGTGCCTAGAATGGAGCCTGGTTTGTGGAAAGTACTTAATAAATATTCCTTGAGTGGATAAGCTGGAAGGTTAAATAGATTAATTTATGTAAAATGCCTTGATATCAATGTTCAATGCACGTTAATCATTACGTTAGTTATTATCGCTCTTCGGCACATGTGGGAATCCCCTTTGTGTGCCCAGTACGGAGACCTAATGTGGTGCTTATCCTGGTGGTGGTGGTGGTGGTCTTACTTTAGGAAGGAATGCCTTGATCATCAGGTACATGCTGCGCACATTGAGATTCATCGAGAAGTCCCAGTCTTTCTCCTCACAATCCAGGACTGTTCCATGATGGACAAAACTAGAAGAGTGATTAAACAATGGAGGAATAACTGCCATTAAAATTTTTCTATTCCATTTGCTGATTATTTCTATTGTCACTTAGTGACTTAGACCACTGTCTCTTTCCCTTATCAAGACTAAGCAATTCAAACATAGTATCACTTAGTATATTACATTAGTAAGAATTCTAACAACTTAAGCTAGAAATGTCATCTGAAAACAAGATCCTTTTTGTTTTCCAAACAAAAGTACGGTCACCGAACATAAGAAGCTTTATGCTAATTGTGCTGGAAACATCAATGCCATTAAAAGCAAAAAACAAATAAAGGAGAACAGGGCTGGGCATGGTAGCACACACCTGCAGCCTCAGCTACTTTGAAGGCTGAGGCAGCAGGACCACTTGAGCCCAGGAGTTCTAGGGTGCAGTGAGCTATGATCATTCCACTGCCCTCCAGCCTGGGGAATCCAGACAAACCCTGTCTCAAAAACAAAACAAAACAACCCCTCCCCCCCCAAAAAAAAGCGAGAGAGAGAGAGAAAAAAACCCATCTGCCCTATTTGCCTATTTGATTCCTATTTCAAGAGCAACAGTGCCCTCAGGTGGCACAGATTTATAATTCGCAAGGGAAATCAAAATTGCAAGGAAAACAAGTGTCTCAACATCTCAGAACAGCAACGTGATATTGCTAGTGTTCTAACATATTGAGAGATGTTAGTTTGTTGTAAGAGAGATGTTAAGGCAGAACAAAACAAACCCTTAAAGTAGCCTTCACTGTTTTTCAAGTTACATTTTCTGACGGAAGCTTCCTAAACATTGGAACCCTTGCTGATTTGGTCCTCTGGACCCAGATTATGTAATTAATTATAAAATATTGTTGGCTGTGACTTCCATGTACCAAAGTTCTGCCAGTTCAATCAGAATGTCAGTTTCATGGCAGCAGGAACAACATGATGTATTTCTACATCCCCTACATGGCTGAAAATTTAATAGATGCTTAAAAACTAACTTTGGTAACTATTTTTTCATGTTTCTGGGTGTATTCTTATATGAATACACTCTTATATGAGGATGGAAGACTATATATGAATGATTTTGCCATATTGTCAAAATTCTTTGAATGAAAGTCATAGAAAACTTTCTGTAAGGAAAGTGAAATTAAAAAGTTAGACATTACCCAGCAACATTAAAGAGAACATCAACTCTCTCAACTTCATTGGCAAACTGATCAATTTGTTTCTTTTTTGTGACATCAAGGACACGAGTTTGAATGCCTGAAAAATAAAACAAGAGGCACTATTCCTAAAAGTATTTAGCCTCGAAGTTTAGCTCTTTTGAAGTGTGAAGTGTGAAGATTGCAATATCTATCCAGCTAGGCTTCATAGATTGCTGACCTTCTTACTAGGGTCTTAAGAATCTTCAGAGTCTCATTAGTAAACATGAAGTCCCATCTGGACTCCTCCAATAACCCATCCATCCCTCTTCCTTCCTCTCTGTCCATTTTCCAAGTTGAATAATAATGGTCCTTTCTGAGTAAAGGCTTTATAGTAAAGTATGACTGGTGTATATTAGATATTTCTCAGTAAGCCAGCAGTAATAACTGAAAGTGAGCTCATTTGAGCCTATCCTTCCCCTGCCAGAGACTGGGTTGCTGGTACCTATACAGTAATGCAGAATTTTGTCTGAGTGAGGGGTGGGGAAGAGAAAGGGTTCTGGAATAAGAGACTGTTTCTATTTGTGAGCTTCCCCTTTATGTCATTTCCATTATTTATTAGAAATGACTCTGTTATTCAAAGGTATCCAGTCAAATACATGTATTTCTGGACTAAACTGCAAGGAGAAGAAATGAGGGG